TTTAAATGTTTTAATTAAAAATTTGATAGATTATAATTACACAATATTAAAAGTAAGTTACATCATCTAATTCAAAATCACAACAGAGAAATATTTTATCTTTTCCAAATAAACAAGAGCTTATAWATTTTCATAATTATTTTTGGTTGAATGCCAAATAATGGGACATTTTATGAACTGTCAGTGGGAGAATAGATTAATTAAACTCTTCATCATTCTCCTTCATACTGAAAACATTTATATATCTTATCCACATTTATATATCATTCCCAGACTGTTATATATCTTGGAGGCTTGTACATTAGGTGATATAAATGATAAGATTCTACAGTTGGGTGCAGTGGTGCATGCCTGTAATCCCAGCAACTCTAGAGAYTGAGATAGGAAGAGCACAAGATTGAGGACAGCCTGGTAAACATAGTGAGACCCTGGCTCAGAAAAAAAAAATGGATTGAGGATATAGCTTAGTGGTAGCATATCCCTGGGTTCAATCCCCAGTACCAAAATAAATAAATAAAATTATACAATTACACAATATTACTCTTTTTTGTCTGATTTCCTTCTATAATGAATTTGATATTCTTCTAATATTGCTATATCAGTAATTGTTACATATATTGTTTTATATATAGTTTTATATAATTTAAYTCTATTATATGTATCCGTACTTATTTTTAATTGCAAAATAGTATTTCATTATATTAACATGCTATGATTTTTAAAAATTTATGATTCTATTCTAGGACTTYGGAGTTGGTCTTTGTTTGGCTAATATTAATTAAATTGCTCAATATTTCTGTATATGWGATTTGGTGGGTATCAATTCTCTTTGTCACATACTTAGAAATGAAATTAATGGATTAGATGATAAGAGAATATTAAAATGTATGGTGTTGATAGTTTTTTGAATGCTGTGCCAATAAGAACACATGATGCTTATTTATCTTGAGAACCTTCATACGGTACACCCACCATCTGGAACAAGCATCCTATTCAAAAGTGTCCAAGGGTGTCCAAAGGCCAGACCCTTCCAGAGACCAGAGCAATAATCTGTTATGAACAATGAACTGGGCACTATTCCCACAAAATTGGCTTATTCAATCAATACTCCCACTTTCAGGGTAAAAGGATGTAGCTGTGACATTTGCCGAGAACTTCAGAACTGTTTTGAACCAGTAACTCCTGCACCTGGCATATCTATTCTTTCTGAATGAAAGTGTCTGCTGTGATGACCTCAGTCTTAGTCAATCTTTTTTTCCAAGTTATTTTGGGAAAGATGACTTGTCATTTTAGTTCTCCAGGAACAAGTGGAGCCACATTTAGACCATGGATCCTGGACAGAAAGCCTAATGCCATAATACCATGCTGTACTGTACACATAGGAGGACATTGATTATTTGTGAACAAGAGGGAAAACTGACACTTCAGATTATCATTCAGAAAGTCCCCACAATCCTCCCTACGTCATCTGCATTGGATGGAGTACACTTCAACTTGATGAGTGGCTTGCCCAACATTTGCTTTAGTTAGAACTCAGTACTTCCTGCTCATGTTACTCCACTAAAAGTTTGTTGTTGTTGTTGTTGTTATTGTTAAATATTCTTGTATGGTTAGGTTTGATTTTTACACTCTGGTAGTCCTCATGAGAAGAACATAACCCTAGTAGTCACTGCCCTTTTAGATGGAATCCCCAAATAACACATAAAACTGAATAAAAAACACAAGCAATAACCTAAAGTTCAGAGTTTACACCTAGATTAATGCTTGCGTCAGCTAAGACTTTCATAAATAAACTGAAACACAACTACTCTGAAACTCTGAGCACAAAAATATTATTGCAGGCTACTGCATTTGCAGAGAACTTGTTATGCAGTATTATTGTGGTCACAGCTAAACTTACAGAACTCATAGGTGAATGGGAGATGACAGTAAATGATACCAGTATCCTATTAAGGTAGAAATGTGAACAGATCAGTGCAGGAACACGATTGAAGACATTGGACAGTGAGGGTATGAAGTAGGTATAAGGATCAGAGAAGGTGTTCTACTAGAGGTAAAACTGGATGTCAGGCTAGAGATGCTTCCAGGCTGATGTGGGGGGGCTGCCTGCTCAGGACCAAGGGAGGAAATTAAGTAAGGCATGAAACAATAGAAATCRTGGCATTTAAGGAGCTCCAAGCAGTTGAGTTCTGCAGGAATAAAAGTTTATCTATAAGACAATGAGCAGAAAAAAAGGTCAGAGAATAAGATAGATGCTAGATTATAAAGGACCTTATATGACATGAATAGATTTCATACTGTCACTTTTAACAGTGTTGTGCTCCCTGTTGTCAGTTCCCTGTGAGAGGGCAAGCTCTACAGTCTAAAAGTTTAATAAATCAATATGATATTAATAGCTAAGGAGTAACTACTGATAAATAACTTCTTAGTATTTTAATATCATATTTTGGAATGATGGAACGTACGATATATGTGTTTTCAGATGCAGATAATTCCTCAAGTTTCTTATAACTCAGGGAGGATCACAAATTCTCTTCCTCCTTAAAATATAATTTACCCAATCCTGGAAAATTAAGTTTTGCTTTAGAAATTTGCTTTGGGGAAGCAAGGTCTTTAACTTGTCCACAAATGAACACTAACAATAGCCTCAAAAAAAGTGGCCACTCAGTGTGTGTTTACTGATTGAACTAATTTCCTAATCAGAAAACACTTCAAATATATGCAAGTTCAAATCCTGACTTTTCCCTCTAAGTATACCTTAGAACAACTCACTTCCCTTTTTGCCTTACTTTATTTTTTTAAAAGGATGCATTGTAATTTCATCTTCCTAGGAATGGTGAAAGTGTTTTATAAAATGATACCATAAAATGCCTAGTACAGTACCTGGCATCTAGATGGCATTTAATTAATGTTAGCTATTAGTATGATTGCTGTAAAAATCTCCTACTCCATTACTCTTTCGGATGCCGAAGCTTGTGGAAGTTGAGTCTATGCAACCACAAATAGAGGCACATTTGTCACATCCTGTCAGAAAAGCTTTAATACAATTCTCGACACAGACATAAGATTAGTTTGATACTCACTTGATTTTAATTTGCTTCAGTTGTGCCACCTCTAAGGAGCTCATTAACAACCCTGCTTCATTGGTTGCTATAGGCATTGCACTAAGATTATTTTTCTCTTCTTCTTCTTCTTCTTCTTCTTCTTTTTTTTTTTTTTTTTTGCTCCTACTTTAGTCTCTTTTTGCTCTTTTACACCCTGCATGAAAAAGGGAATTTGTTCTGCTCTTCACAATAGTCCTCACCCTCTTTGTTCTCACAGGGAAGTGAATTTGGCCTTATCTCATAGCAAGATAGTGCTTCAGTCCAAATGCTTAAGCTTAATTCACTCATTACTGAGAAATGCTGTACCTGGATGAARATAATGGAGACCTAATGCATATGCTATGTAGCTTCCCAATAGAGTATCCCTTTTAAAAAGAAATAATTAGATGAATAAATTAGATTTTAAGCACTGATCTACATTTATACTCCAAAGAATATGTAATTAGAAATTTAAGCAGTGGGCCAGGTATCATTAAGTCATTGGAGACATTTCTATTAGAAGCCAATAGTATTGCCAAAATGTTAATTGTCTAAAGCCCATTTTAAAATCCTTACATRTAATAAAGTATATATAAGGTTGATTGAGCAAGCCAATTTAGATGAATGTATCAGWTAAATAATTTTATACTTATGAAAAATGCATGATATACTCCAATTATTGAGTTAACTTAATATTTCAAAGCCATGGCAAAAAAAAAAAATGATGGGGATGGTGTGTCAAGGAGTTATTTGGATTCAAGAAAGCATTCTTCTTTGAAAAACTWATTGGTCATCACATCATTATGATCTTTTGATAGGTGATATTATAGGGAAAATAGGCTATGTCCTTTCCCTAGGATTAGAAGAAAACAAGAGCAGTAGATGCTTGCCATGGCATGATGTTGGGGCTGGTGCACTGGAGACTTAAAGAACAGAAATTTACATGCTTGTGCTTTTGGAGACTGAGAAGTTCAAGATCAAGGTGCCTGCAGGTAGGTGTCTGGTAAGGTCTCCTTCACTGGATTGCAGTAGACTCTCCCTGTGTCCTGCCTTGGCTGTCTCTGTATATGTACTCACTCCTTTCACTCCTCTTATTGTCTTCTTACAAAGACACTCATCTTATTGGATTAGAGTTCCACCCTTATGACTTCACTTAACTTTGATGATCTTCTTAAAGACTCTTTCTCCAAATATGGTGACACTGGACATTAGGGCTTCAATCTATGAATTTCAGGTTACACAGTTCAGTCCATAACACCTGGCAATTTGAAATAACCAAATGAACGTAAAGCTTTGATTTTTATTCTCCAAGGAACTTCGCATAAAAGAAAAGATCACTGGAGAAATATGCACATGAGTAAGATCTCAGTACTTAGAAAAATAAAAGTCAGACACATTTGGAAACCGTTGTTTAACTTATGGATGATAAGACATTGCTGGCAAGTTTTTGTTTTTGCTTTTACTTCTAAAATGATATATTTTATTTTTCAGGCCCTAATATAATAATAACTCCTAGATTGATTCTGAACTATGTAAAATTCTATAGGGTATCCACCTGTCTGGACATGTTCACAGACTGGTAGGTTGAGAATACAGGAATCCTACTTACATAAGGATCTAAGGAGTCTCTTGGGGGAAAACACAATCTAAGAGAGGACTGATGGACCATAAACTTAATCAGTAAAAAAACCAAAATCTTGGTCTTTGTAAGGGAAAGTATGTGATATATCAATCAGAATTATCTATCAGACTAGYCACCATGAACTTTGGGTTGCACTGCATGGTATACTTAATGAAAAAAAAATCTGAAAGCAAKGGGGCAAAAATAAAATGTGTTTTCTACCAAGTGTTAGAAGCAACAGGAAACKGGGYATTTTTCTCTTCATTTGTAATACTGGATTGTATAGATTTAGCTCCATGAAAGAATGCAGAGAATCTGCAATGTGGTGGCAGTGCCCAGTATATAGGAGAATCAGTGGTTACCCAGAAGTGATAGAGGAAACGATAATAACTTTGTTAAAAAGTGAGTACCTGGTATGTTCTCTAGTGATATCCAATRGGTGTGCAAATTATTCTTAGCACAAGGGCCCATGAGAGCTCAGGAATCTCTGATATTAACAGATGTGATCTCAAACAGAGAAAGATGCATAAAATCGCAGATGCCARTGATAAATTACTTGAAGCATCTATAGTTGGCATAACCAATATCAGTCTTTTCTGGAGACAGTTTTATACCTGATGATTGACAGAGTACTTATTCATGTGCTCCATTTTACTCCCCCAAATTTCCCATTTTGCTTATAAATTATATGGTAATCCATCTGATAAAGAGGGAAATTTGGAAACTGGAATGCCACCTTAGCAAGTTAAGGACAGAGCAAGATAGATGTAAATTGTGCTTGATGGAATGATTGTATCATATTGTATTATGCTGTAGTTAGAGTGATAAAAGATGTAAGGCCCTCTCAGTCTTGTGATTGATTGGTCAGTAAATCGGAGGCAAACATAAAACTGAATAAGAAATTCTATAGACTCGGAGCCYGCGGGGCCCTGAGGACCCAGAGGATGCAGATTCCTCCCAGCAGGAGGTGATGGAGAGGGCCAGAGAGGACCTAGAAGAGTTTGAGTGCCAGGAACTGATCAAGTGTCAGATGCAGTTGGGGGCCTCTGAGGAAGAGGAGGGGGAGGGGGAGGAGGAGGAAGAAGAGGTGGAGGACGAGGGCCTGGTGGCGGAGGCCAAGGCAGTGGCTGCTGGCTGGATTTCCTCTGCCTCTCTCATTGAGGCCTTCCTCAACGGCCCCTGGGAGGACTTCCACTGAACCCAAGATAGCGCCGAAGCCAGAATTCATGGATTATCCAGTCTTATAATTTATCAATTGAAAACTATATACATAGGTCAGTTTTTGACAAGAATTGCAGAAGGAAAATCCCTTGATGCACAGTTTGAAAATGATGAACGAATTATACCCTTGGAATCAACCCTGATGACTTGGGCTTGAGTTGAAAAAGAACATGACAAACTTCATGAAGAAATAGAGAATTTAATTAAAATTCAGGCTATAGCTGTTTGTATGGAAAATGGCAGTTTTAAGGAAGCARAAGAAGTCTTTGAAAGAATATTTGGTGACACAAATTCTCACACACCTTTAGAAAGGAAATTGCTTA